AATTCCTCTTCGAAACTCATTCTTTGTGCATACATGCAGGTTCCTCAACAAAGCTTCTGTGAAAACTGGTTCTACTGATCCATGGATGTTATGCTCAGTGACCCGAGTAGAGGAAACAAAGCAAATGTTAAGGATGATTCCTATTTTAGTAGCTACATTTATTCCAACCACCATGGTTGTTATAAATTTTAATTAAAAAAAAATTGTAACCTATTATTCAATTTCAATGGGTTACAAATCCTTTATTTTCAAAATCAATTCCAGCCGGTTACAAATTCATTGTTTTCAAAAATCAATCTTGTGTTAGTTACAAATTCATGCCTTCCTGCTTTAAGAATGGATCTGTGCATTTCTAAATCAAATTTAAATATTTTAACATTATAATCTGCTATTTATTATTATATTTTTTGTAATCGACAAAAATGCGTGATTTACTTATCAGCTTTTTCAATCTTGTAACCGACAAGATTTATTTTAAATCTATAACAATCTCGCACTTTATTTTCCAGTTACATTGTAAAAGCCTATAATTAGGCAGCCTCCATTTCTACCAAAAAGGTTGATACAATTTTCATATTTTGCATTTTTATTCTACAAACACAGTATTCAAACTCTCTTGGGTAAGGAAAAAGTGGTGGGATAGGACTTTTTTTACAAGAGTGCAGTACTTGTAAAGATACAACAAGGAGGTTGGGCTGTTATATCTATGGACGGCGTGACCATAAAAATCTACTACACTAATGGCACGAAATGTCATAAAGAGAGTAATTCATACACGCCTCAACTCAAGCTCTTTATACTTTCAATGATATTTTTTTACTTTTCATCTTCATCTTTAATTAATTGTTTTTTTGCTATTCTTTTGTCTATTTTCCTTTTTATTTATTTTTACGAGGAACAACAATGGTTGCTCAAGCCAGTACACTCTTTGTAAAACAGGGGACAACTCTTGATAGGTCTATTGGTAGTTTCAAGGTACCTCCAGCAAGTTTGGGAGCATTTGTGACATTGTCTATGCTTATTAGTGTTGTTTTGTATGATCGTTTCTTTGTCAAGATTATGCAGAGGTGGACAAAGAACCCTAGAGGTATAACCCTCCTTCAAAGAATGGGAATCGGTGTGTTTTTCCTAATCATAGTCATGATGGTTGCATCTTTCACCGAGCAGTACAGATTGAAAGTGGCCAGGGAACATGGTTTGGTTGAAAATGGAGGCCAAGTTCCATTGAGTATTTTCATTTTACTTCCTCAGTTTTTTCTTATGGGAGTGGCAGATTCATTTTTAGCAATGGTATTGATTGAGTTCTTCTATGATCAATCACCAGAAAGCATGAAGAATCTTGGGACATCCTATTCCTCTACCAGTCTGGGAATTGGGAATTTTCTCAGTAGCTTTCTTCTTTCAACAGTTTCTGACATCACAAGCAGGAATGGTCGCCGACGATGGATTCTAAACGACCTGAGTGCTTCTCATCCGGACTATTTATATGGATTTTTTGCAATTCTAAACTTGTTGAACTTGATGTTCTTCTTGGTTGTGGCCATGTCTTTTATGTACAGGGCTGAAGTCTCGGATTCAATGCAAGTACAACCTCAAGAATTAGAGGCATCAAATCCACAAGAACCTAGCTAGGTCTCAGACTAGAAATGGTGCCTCTGAATGTCAAAGCTGAAACTCAACTTTCTAACGAATAAAAGATATCCAAACATGCGATGTGAACAGAACAAAGAGACCCTCAAGTTTTTCTGCCGTTAATATTAAAAAGAAAAAACTGTTATATAATTTAATTTACATTTCTGTACAACTAAAACTATTAGCGTGAATTTAAAAGGTTAAATGCTTAATTTGGTCCCTCAACTTTAAGAAATGAACATTTTTGGTCCCTCAACAATTTTTTACACTTTTTTGATCCCTCAACTATACGAAATGCACTCCATTAGTCCTTCTGTTAATTTGACCCGTTGACTCTGCTTAGGTGGCATTTTTTATATTTTTTTTGATGATGTGGAGAGCAAAACTTAAAAAAGTGATGACATGCCATAAAACTTTTGCCATGTCACATGCTACCTGGCAAAAACGCACCAAATCCATCCAATGGGTCCCACATCACCACTAACAATTGCTCCTTTGGCCATCGGTTACTGTTTCTATTCTTTCCGGTGTTTTTTCCATTTTCAAGATTTTCCGATGTTTTTTCCATTTTTAAGATTGAAGTTCGACAGTATGTTCTTTCCATTTTCAAGATTGAAGTTCGACAGAACCCAGCTCGATTCATTTCTTTCCATTTTCAAGATTGAAGTTCGACAGAACCCAGCTCGATTCATTTCTTTCCATTTTCAAGATTGAAGTTCCACAGAACCCAATCGATTCATTGAACTCAATTGTCCAAAAATCTCTCGCAACAACCTGCAATTTGGAAATCTCTTGGCAAACAATCATATAACAGAAAAAGAAACTAGTTACCCAAAAATCCCTCATGGCAAACAATCATATAAACCAAAAAAAAAGTGGAGCTGGGTTCGGTGGAACCCAGGCTGGGTTTCATCGAACCCAGCAACTGGGTTCGGGGGAACCCAGCACTGGGTTCGGGGGAACCCAGCACTGGGTTCGGGGGAACCCAGCACTGGGTTCGGGGGAACCCAGCACTGGGTTCGGGGGAACCC